TATATATATAATTAAATATTTATTTGTATATAAAAAACATAATTTAATAAATTATGATTACTTATTAAATTAAAATATATTTTATTTGAATAGTATTTTTACTTAAAGAAAATTTAATTTAATTCTTTTTTTAATTATTTTTCTTATAATTATTAATTTATCATATTTTTTTTTTTTTTTTCTATTTTTTTTTTTTTTAATAAAATTTATAAAAAGGATGATAAAAAATGGAATTTGTTCATTTTTTTTAATTGATTTTTTTTAAAAATTTACACTATATATAAAATAAATACTTTGATAAAAAGTAATATATTAAAATTCATTTATTTATAAAAAGTTTTTCATCTATTTATTATTATAAATTCATTATTTTAATTTCCTTTTAAAATAAAGTTATTTTAAAAATTATAAAAAATGCAATTAATAAAAATTATATATAAAAAATTTAAGATAAAAATATATTAAATAAAATATTTTTTTTTTAATATTTGCTTATTTTTATTTACTAAATTTTATTTAGTTTTTTTATGATTTTCTTGCATAATTTTAATTTAATTTTCATACATTTCTTAAATTTATATTTATTTTTATTTATTTTGTTCATTTTAAGCTTTTTATATATTTAACTGTAATTCTAAATTATATATTTATTAAATGCTTTAAACTTTAATATCTTTAATTTATTCTTAATATTTTTTTCGTGATAAGCAAACTTTTCCTATTATAAATTTAGCTCATTTTAATATTTTTTAATAATTTATTCATGATTATTTTAAATATACTAAATATGACTCTTAAAAATATTATTTTGATTTTATAATTCACTCATTTTTGTTGAATTTATTGAAAGCTCTATATTATTTTGATTATATGTATTAATTTTACTTGCATTATCGCTTATTTTAATTTGTTAAAAGCCATTTTTATTTTCTAAATTTTAAATTGTTTAAATATTATTATTTATAAAATTTTCTTCATTTTTATATGAAAGGGAACTTTATTATTTTAAGGATAATAATGAATTGAAATTTTCTTATACATTTGTTTTATTTTGTATTATTCTATGGTCTTTTTATAATTATAAATTATTTGCAGATTTAATCCCTTTTAGATTTTCCTCTTTTTCTCGAATTTATTTTTTACTTTGATTTATTTTATCTTTCAAAAATTATAATACATAATTTGAATTTTATTATTTATTAATATTCATTTTTTTAAAAATATAAAATATAATAAATACTATTATATGATTTTTAATAATAAAAATAAAAAATATAAATTTAAAAATTATTATATATAAAAATTATTAATTAATTTAAATATCAATATAATTAATTTATCATAAATAAATAAAATCTATCACCATATTCTTTTGGAGGAATACAACTTATATCTTAACTTAAAAATGTCTTTTTTACAACATTTTCAAATTTTTTAAATGAACTATTTAAAATAAAATAACATATAAGAAAAATAATTATATAAATATAAATATATAAATATATAAATATATATATATATATATATATATTTATTTATATATATACATTTATATATAATTATTTATAATTTATTACGTAAATTATGTTAATATATCTATTATTCCTATATATATAATTTTATCTTTATCCTTACTTAATATTCCTCCTTAGCATTTCTTTTTATAATTAATAATATTAATTTTTATAAAAATTTTATATTTATATATAATCTGTAATTTTTTTTTTTTTTTTATTAATAAACTTCATAAAATCTTAAATTTGTATTTTTAGACACTTTACAATCTTCATTATTTTTTAATATATCTTCAATTTCTATTTTATTTTATTTTTTAAATTATAAAACTAAATATTTTATTAAAAATACCATTATCTTTTAATTAAGAAAATCCAACCAATAAAGAATAATCAATAATTTAATTATCTTAAAAAAATCTAGTATCTATTTCTAATTAAATACTTAATATTTTTTTATCTTTATCATTTATTTCTATTTTCCTTTTATCTTCAATCCAATCATTATCTTTTAATGCAATGCTTGGGTCTCTTTTTTTAAAAAAAAGAGAAATAAAAGATAATAAATATATATATTTTTATTAAAAAAAAAAAATATAACAATTATTAGTTTTTTATTGTTCTTTAAGTTCTTCCATATTTAGAACCTTTCAAATCATATCTTATATCTACATATCTATTATTTTTAAATAGATTTCCCATTATACAGAAATAAATATATTTAGATTTCTTTTTAGAACTAAATATTTTCATTTTATGTAAACCATAAGTTCTATATAAATTAAATTTTTAAATAATTACAAATACATATAATTTATGTTTTTTTATATTTTTATTATAAAAAAATACTTAGTTATTAATGTGTTGAAATTCGAAATAAGATGTTCATAATAAGGTTTTAGAATTTTCCTAAAAAAAAAAAATTCATCTCTAGAAATAGTTTTTAACATAAACTAATCTATAGAAAAAATAAAAAAAATTAAGAAATTTATAATATAAACCATCCTAAGAATAATAAAAAAATGATCCACTTTTTCCAGAACTACATTTTTCAGTTAAATTATTTAAATTTCCCATAATAAGATTTCCTAAAAGCCCTTCAGGTCCAATTGATCTTTAATATTATTCATTAGTAATCCCTTAAGAAATTCTAATTTTTTCATAAATAATAGGCGCATAATCATAAAATACACAACTTTTAGTAATATCGAAATTAGCTGCCCTTTTATTCGATAAATCATACATACATTTATTCGAAAAATGATCATCATTTATATCTACTTTATAATTTAAAGGATGTAATTCTTTAATAGCTCTTCTTATTCCAATCATCATATTTAAAACTAAAGACCAATTTTAATGACCAAAATAAATCGATAAATTTCTCCTTATTCCATCTATTTAATCATATAATAATTTAATTTATTTATTATTTTTAGGAGATGATGTAACGACTCTTTTTTTTAACATAAAAAAAATTAATAAATTGACAAACATATTAATAAATTAATTTTAATTATTTTTTTTATTTACTCACTTTAATTATTATTGTTTTCATATAAAATTTCTGTTTAAGAAAGATATTTTTTGGCTTTAATTTATTCTATAGCTAAATGTGTTTGAATTCTTTAATTTTTTCTTTTAATTGGACTCATTGAATTAGTAAAAGCATACGAAATATTCGAAAAAGATTTTTCATATTATTTTTTATTTTCATTAGATTATACACTATATAGAATTTATTGTTTATATTTCATTTCTTGTTATTCTTGACATGTTTTTCTTAATTTTTACGAAATGTTAATTATATTTTTTAACTTATTAGTCAATTTTTTCCTCCATTACTCATCTTAGTTAATAGAATTGTTATCACTTAATAATTTTTAATTCAATAATTACTAAATTTATAAACTTTCTTCAAAGCATTCATCTTCATTTGGATCTACATCTGCTATTTTACTTAAAGGAACATAAAAATTTACTTAAGAAAAAATAGAAATAGAAGAAGAAGATTTAATATTTTAATTTTTTTTCTTATTTTTATAATCTCTAATTATATCTAAGGACTCTAATAAATATTTCTGTATTTCATTTACACGTAATTTAATCAAATTCGCTTTAATATTTAAATTGTCAATTTATAAAGAAGCAATATCTTCTTTTTTTTTAATTTAATTATTACTTCTTTATTTTTTTCTCTTCAATAATTAACTTCTTCTATATTCTTCTAACATTTACTAAATATTAATATCCTCTAAATAAAAATATATATATATATATATATATATATATTATATATATATATATATATTTTACCATTGTTTAAAAATTCAAACCATCCGAACATTTCTTATTATATAGAATATATTATAAAATAACTTATTAATTTATTTATTAATTTAATTATAAATATTTTTTACTCTTCAAAAGAAACTTCTCCATCTCTATCATAATCAAAAATATTGAAAATATGTTCAATGTATTCTTGTGTTGGTATAGATTTTGAACCAGTCATATTATTCCATAAATATGAAACTTCGAAAACTAGTTTTTCGATATCTTCATATGTTATCTTATCTTTTTTGTTAGATAGAATATTAAATGAAAACATGGCTTTTTCTTCTTGACTTCCATTCATTAAAATAGATAAATACTAAACAAAATCTTCAAAATCAACATTACCTTACTATTTTGTATCAATTAAATTAAATATACGGTCAACGAAGGAATTGTCAAAACCCATAATTCCTAAACTATCAATAAAGTTTTCTTTAGTAAGTTTTCCTTTTACAGAAATTTTATCAAATCTATGAAAATGAAGTATTATATATGTATATATATATATATATATATATATATATATATATATATATATATATATATATATATATATATTATACCTTATTTTTAATAAATTTAATTCTTTTTAATTAAATCCATATTTTTGATATTATGGTATTTTACTACTTTAATCATTTATATTTTATGATGAATTTATATTCATATTTTAATTTGTATTAATTTTTTAATAATTTTTATCATTTTTATGTATATTTATATTATTGTTTTGTTATTCTATATTTACATTGGTTTTTTCTAATTAACATATTTTCAATATTTTTGTATTGTTATATTTAGAATAATCGAAATTATTTTATGATTTTTACTTATTTATTTTATTTTCTATTTTCTCTTAATTTTCTTTCATTATTTTATTTTTCATATTTTTTTATAAAATAGTTAAACATATAAATATATTTAATATCATTTAAAAAAATATTTAAAAACTCAATAATATTTAATAAAAAAACAACCATTATAAATAAATATAAAATATTATAATATATATATATTTATATATAAAATTCTAAATATAAAAGCAATAAACACCCATACGATTAAACTATTTTTAACTCTAAACAAACTTGAAAATTTTACAAATTTTTAAGAAAACAAAATGTTTTATGATTAATATTTTATATAAACACAAGAACATTTAATACGTCTCTAACTTCTCATTAAAACTGAAGTCAGAAAAAGAAATTAACCAAATATAATCATATTAAAATATCGCAATATAAATTATAAATTTATTGAATTTTTCTTTTTACATAAGACATATATTTATAATGTATTTTATAAAAAAAAAAAATTAAATTTTTAGATTGGAAAGAAATACTTAAATTTTCTAGGAAACAAAATTTATACTTTATTAAATCTTAAAAAATTTATCAAAAATAAAACTATCAGTTTTCTGTTTTAAAAAAATATAAAATAAAGAATTCAAAAAAAAACTAAAACGTATATTTCAAATAAATTTCCTAAATAGAATTTCTCTTATAAAAATACTTCTTTAATAAACTATTTTTTTTTTTAAAAAAAAGCTTAAAATTCACATAAAAAACAATAGAAATATTATATAAATTATTTTAATTAATTAAATAAAAAAATAATATATATAATCTTCTATTTAATATTTTATATAAAAATAAATTTAATATAATTATTTAATATATTATAAAGCTTAATTATATCAATATTCATATGTATTATTATATTAATCATAATATTATGGTTCTAATTAATTTTTATATTCATCAATAGTTTCATTTAATTCAGTAATATTTAAAGGTGCATAATTATTATTTTCAATATAAATTTCATAATTTTATATTAATTACTATTATATATTATTATTTTCTTGAATAAATTCTTCTTATCTACTATTCTCTAAAATAACTACTTCTTATTTATTATTATTTTCTTCATAAATTTAATTTTGATTATTATCAATATTTTCAATTGGAATATTTTATGTTATAGATTATAATTCTTTATCGTTATATTGACTTTAAATTATATTGTCTAATTTATTATCACCTGATTTAAATTTATTTTTATTTTTATATTTCAAAATTAATTTTTTTAATATTAATTTTTTTATTTTAAAATATATTCTAACAAAAATAAATAATTCATTTAAATAAAAAAAAAATTAAATAAAAAAAACCTGTAAGTAAAGGGATAGTTTAATTATTATTTTAAATGCTAGTATTTATGCTTATATTTATTTTCCCATTAGAGTAATTTATTACATTTTGACCCTATAATATATTTTAAAAAATAAAATAAAATTTTATATATAAATTATTTAATTTATAAAGATAAAATTTTTTTTATTTAATAAAAAAAAAAAAAACTATAAATTATTTCATTCTAAATATTTTAAAATTTAAATAGATAAAATAAAAAAAATAAAATTATATTAAAATATTAATATTATATAAAATATATATATAAATATATTATATATAAAAATATATATATATATATATATATTATCTATATATATATATATTTATCTTTAATATTTTACATTAATAGGTAAACACCAATCATACATAAAGTCCCATTCATAATTTTCTTTATAGAATATTTCTTTGAGCATTTTTCTTAAATATAAATAGTCTGGTTTATCTTCAAATTTTAAAGATCTACAATAATTCAAATAAGTAGAAATTTCAACTTATATATTTAAATTATAAAAAAATAATTTATATTTTTATTTTTATTACTTGGTAATCCTTTACACAAAATTTCTACAGGTGTTTACATTTTTTTTTCCATTATTTTTGTATATTTTTCTTATTTATTATTTGCTTTTATACCTTACCAAGGTAAATATCCTTTTAAAAAATAAATAATTAAATACCCTAAGGACTCTAAATCATCTCTTCTTGATTACTCAATGCCTAAATGTGCATTTATAGATGCATAACGAGCTGTTCCTGTTAAATTTTTATTTTCTCTATAAGGAATATGTTAATGTGTTTTTGAATCCCTAAATTTTTTTCCTAAACCATAATCTATAATATATATTAAATTCGATTTTTTGCCTAAACCTATTAAAAAATTATCTGGTTTTATATCTCTGTGTATATATCCTTTTATATGTACACTTTCTATTCTTTACATCTTTTTTAAAAATAATAAATTATATATATATACATAAATGAACATACTAATTAATCATATAACATAATTGTTGTCTTTAAAGAAAATTTCCTTTTACATAAATTAAATAAATCTTCTAACGAAGGACCTAAAAGATCTATAATCATTATATTACAACCACATTCCTGACCATACCAATATAGTTTTGGAATACCAACTTTTTTTATTATTTATTTTTTCATATATTTTAATACCTCTATCTTATAAGGATTTCATTATTTTTGCTTCAAAAAGTAATTAAGGTTATTTACTTTTACAATCTTCCTTTTTTATTTTATTTTATTTGATTGATTTTTTATAAAAATAATTTTTTTAAGATTTTTTACTAGTTTAACTGCTACTATTTCTTTTGTTTCTATATTTGTTGCTTATTTTTTTTTATATATATATATAAATTTTCATTTATATTATGGAATTATTATAATTCGTTTATTTATAGTTTTTATGTACCTAAATATATATCACCAAATGAACCTGAACCTAACTTTTAACCTATTAAATATTTTCCATTTATTTTAGTATCTTTTATATCACCCATTTGTTTTTATATTATTTACTTAACTTTTAATGTATCAAAATTAATTATTTTTCAAATTAACGATTAAAAAATAATAATAATAAAAAAAAAAAAGAAGAAAGAATATTAAACAAAAAAATTTAAAAAATAAACAAAAAAAATACAATTTTTTTTATATTTTTTGAATTATAAAAAATTAATTTAGTAAAAAAAAAAAAAAAGAACAAAAATATTTTATAAAAAATAATAATAAAAAAAAAATATTAATAATTAAATTAAAAATAAAATAAAATCATTTCAATAATTAACCTTCAATAAAAAGAATAGATTTCATCAAAACATCAAAAACAGTATTCAAGCAATCATCAAGCGAATGATCAGCTTCTGGATAAACATAAGTTTTAAAATCGCATCCATTTTATAAACATTAAGAATGAAAAGCAATACTTTATTAATAAGGTACTCTTCTATCTTTAACTCCAATAAAATTAATTGAAGGTAACTTATTAATTTATGAAGCTGGAGAAATTTCAAACATCCTTCTATAGTCTTCTGGACTTAAATTCCAATTATTTTTTCTATTAAAGCATTCTGCAGTAGACCACTCAGGTATATCAGATGCATTTAAATTAAAATTAATATTAACTACAGGATTCATTAAAATACCACAAAGGAATTTTTCAGCATGTCTAGTAGCCATAATACCAGTCATAAATCCTCCATAACTTCCTTTATATAAATATATATATGGATTTTTTTGTTTTTTATGTTTTCTGTATATCTCTTTTTAAAAACTCAAAAAAAAAAAAAAAGGACAATAATCCAATTTTTATTGAATTATTTTTAATTGAGTTTTTTAAATAAATAAATTACAAGAAATTAAAAAAAATATATATATTACAATTTACCTCCTATAATAATGATTTTTTTAGGATCACATAAGCCTTTTTATATAATTTAATCTATCATTCCAAGTATTTCCTAAGCATCAATATCTCCAATATTTGTTAATAATTTTTCCATGAAATTTTATCCATAACCGCATGATCCTGTATAATTGGGGGCTAAAATACCATATCCTTAAAGTAAAAAATACAATCTTAACAATCCGAAATTTCCCGCACTACTTCCATGTGGACCACCATGCACCATAACAACTAAAGGTCTTTGATTATCTTAAGAATATTTCAGAGGATTAATTTTTTCATTATTTTCATATAATTCTTTCAGCTCGTTTGGTATATTCTAGTTTTCGAATTTTTTAAGTTTCCAGAAAAAGCCTTCAGCCTCTCCTTATTTAATTAATCTTTCTTCGAATTATTCAAAAATTATATTTTATTATATCTAAAAAATAATATTAGTATTATTATTTATTAACGAAACTTCCTTCCACTCTATTTTTTCAGATAATACTTTCGTATTTAAGTTTAAGTCTAAATTTGCAAAAACGACCTTCAAGGGATTTTTCATATTTGTAAACGAAGCATAAAGAATACCGGAAACTTAATCATATTACAAAAGTTAAAAAACATCCGAAAGAGTCTCATTTTTAGATATAGGAAAAACTTCTTTATTTTCCGTATTAACAATATATATTTACATAGAACCTTAATAACTACTCGTAAAAACAACATGCTTATTATCATTTAGCCAAAAAATATTTTTTAAATCCTCATAAAAACCACATACACCCAAAAAACCTTCCTTTCCATCTCTTTTAATAGGCAATATCTCTTAAACAGAAAAACCATTACCTACATTAATTAATTTTAAAGCTAAATAATTTAAATGAGGGGCTTCTAAAGGAGTTCCAAAATAAATTATTTTATCACCTTTTGGACTTAATATAGGTCTAAAAGAGGCATCATCTTAGCTAATAATTTTTGTTTAAACTTCTTTTTTTTTTCGTCTTTTTGTTTTTCATCATCTTTTTATCCATCTTAATTTACTTTAGGAAAAACTTGATTTCTTATAATATTTTCATCTAAATAAATACTCGAATATCTATTAAAACAATGCAAAATACCATATTTGAATTCCTCGTGTACTTTATATCCTTAATAAATAATACTATCATCTGATAAATACTATGGATAACATAAAAGTATATTTGTAGGAATTTAAATTTAAAATAGTGTTTTTTTTCTAAATCATATTCAAAAAGTACTGTTTGGGTAATTCCATTCATTTTTTCTCCAAAATCTTATTCCAGTTTATAATTTTCGTGCGCATTTTACAATTCTTCGTCGTTATTTGCCTCAAAATAGCTTTTTTGGATCTTTGCTTTTTCCTAAGCTACATAAAGGACTTTTGTTTCTTATTTATTCCAAATTAAAGCTTGTCCAATAATAGAGTCATTTAAAATCTTTTGGTGGAATTCAGAAAGGTTTATTGATTAAGTTAAATCTTCATTACAATAAATCTCCATAATTAATTTTTTCTCATCAGGTTTTTATATTATAGCCTTATATTTTTTCAAAGGAGATACTGATTAAATATTAGTAGATGAAAATAAAGGAAAATTGTTTATTTTTTATGCTTTTAATGGATTTTAAGTCAATGTATATATATTATTATAGTTGCTAGCTTACGTTTTCTTTAAAGTTAGGTTAAGAATAGTTAACTTAAAAGGCAGTTGGAGACAAAACTTCCAAAGATTTAATAAAATGGGATGAACTGTATAAACGTTCTAAAAATTTTACAATTAATTTTGTTCTTTTTAAGTCCATTTTTATTAATATTTGTTATATAAAGATATATAGGTTATAAAAAAAATTTTATATAATATATAAATTGCATTAATATAATCTAATTATTTAATATTTATTAAATAAATATAATTTAATTCTAGGATATTTTTAGATAAAAAAAAATAATATATATATTAATTTTTAATAACAAAAATATATATTATTTTATTAATAAATTGTATATATTAATATAATTGATTATTTTAATAAATGATTTAATCCTAAAATATATATATATATTTTTTTATAAAATTTATAGAGATTATATAAAATAAGTAATTTTATTAAAATTTTTAAGTAAATTTAAATGATTTATAAAGTTATATTTGTAAAGTGAAAAAGAAAAAAAAAAAAAAATATTTAAATTAAAAAAAAATATTTATTTATTAAAATATAAATATAATAACATAATATTTTTAACTTAATTATTTGTAAAATATTTAGATTTAGTAAATTATTAAATAAAAATAAAATTCATATAAATTTAAATATAAATAAATAAATTCAAAATGGTCTTAAAATGATTAAATAAATATATTTTAATTTATTAAAATAGCCTATAAATTTATCTTATTTAAGGATCTTATATTTAATTAAAATAAATTTATTTTAATATTAAGCAATTATATTGTTTAATTAATAAAAAAAATGACATTTATTAAAAATAATGAATATATAATTAAATAGTGACAAATTCAAAATAAATATAAAGAAGATATAATTAAAATTATATTAAAATATAAAGAATAACTAAAATTATAAAACCTAATTAAGAATATCTAAAAAAAATGTTTTTTTATACAATATAAAAATTTTAAGTATGATAAAGAAAAAAAGGTTAAAAAGAATAATATAAAAATATAATTGATAAAAATTGTCTATATTTATTATTAAATTATATTAAAATATATAAAAAAATTTAATATAAATAAAAAATATTTAATATAATATTATTATATATTATATAATTATATAAATATATAAATATATAAAAATATTTATTTATATATATTATATTTATTTTTATATTATATTTTTTTATATTATCAGGAAATTTTAATTTATTTTTTTTACATTAAATAAATAAAAATTTAATTTATCTTTTTTAATATTATTTTTAAATACATGTAATTTTTATAATTATCAATTTATTAATAATTTATAAATGTTAATAATAATTTAATATTATATAAATATTTATTATCTTACACTATATTTATATATACAATTATATTTATTCTATCTTTTATTTTATATTATTTTTTTTTTTTTATTTTTTATTTTTATTTTTAACATTTCTTAATATCTTTTTAATTACAAAATATAATAATTTTAAATAATAATTTAATTTAAATATTTTATTTATTTTTTTATTTTTATTTAATAATAATTTACTTATTTTATAAATATTAATAAATTTTAACCTTTTTTTATTTTCAATTTTATATAAAATGATATCTATTATATTATACTTAATTTTTTCTTTATTTATCTATTTTTTAATTTTTTTTTCCTTTATTTATTATTTTATTTACACATACTTATTTAATTAATAATTATCATTTATATAATTATTATAAATCCACAATTCTTTAGAATTTATATTTATATTTGATATCTATAAAATTATTATTTACATAGTTATTTTTAATAATAAATATATTCTTAAATATTTTATTAATACAAAATTTTATTATTTAGTATAAAATTATTTAACATAATTTAAAAAATATTAATTATATTTTTTTATTTATTCTATTAAATTGCCTTAATTTAAATTTTCTTTCTTTGTTCTCTTTTTCCATAAATATATTACTTTTAAATATTTATTTATTTTATATTATTAATTAATTAATTAATTTCTAAAAATTTTTTAATAATTTTTTGTTTAATATATGTTATTTTTATAGTTTTACTTTAATATTAATAATATATTATTCATATTCTTAAATTTTCCTAAAATATAATTAAATTAGACATAAATATACGAAAATTCAATGCTTCTAAATTTTTATATTATTAAAAGTTATATCTATTTCTCATGTAAATTCCTAAAAAAAATTAGAACATTAATTCTATTTATATTCCTTAAATTTTATTATATTTTTTTTTTTTAAAAAAAAGTATTTAATTTAAAAAAAAAAAAAAAATTTTCAATAATAATTTTTTAGAAATTTTAATAAGTTTTTTTTTTGCATATTATTATTTTTAATATATAATAATAGATCCTTAAGATTCTATAAAATATTATTATTTAACAATAAATTAAAATTATTCTTGTGAAAAAAAAATGTTTGATTAAGCAAATTTATTAATAGTTTTCTCTAAAAGTCTATAAAAGATAATTACATAATATAATACTTTATTAATAAAATATTTTAATATAATAATAAAGTTCTTCATTTTCTATTTAATTAATTTATAATTCTGTTAAATATTATCTGAATACTTATTTTCAAAGATGTAATATGCCCTTACAAATAGATTTCAATAAGATTATTTTTTAATTTTTAATTTATTAATTTTTTTTATATATTTATAAAAAAAATTTTATTATATTAAATATTTTTTTATTTTTTTTTAAAAAAAAATATATATATAAAACGAAAAACGAGCTAAACCAACTAAATAATAATTCAATAAAAATTATTAATTAAAAAAATAAAATTAATTTTATTCAATAAAATAAATAAAACTAAATAAAATATAAAATGATATTATTTTCTTCATCTTATCCTTATATCCTAAATTAAAATTATTTATAACCTCATTTAGTAAATTATGTTCCCACATTTGGATAATAAATTCCTAATTAACAATTTTTCTAACAACGTAGAGGAGGATCTTTCCATTAAAGTATAGATCCTGTATTTTAATAAAAAAATGAACCTTTTTTTTTATAAAGTAGATAAAATTCACTTCTACATTTAGAAGAAATACACTTCGCAAAAAAAAAAGATAATCTTAATATAATAGCAAATTAAGGTTAAAGAATTTTAAGTTTGGAAGATAGAATAGATTCTTTAGAAAAAGAAATAGAAATACAAGCCGAAAGACTGAATGTAAAAGAAGAAAATTTAATAAATTGGTAAAAACAACATGATGAATTAATAGAAATATAAAGTATATATTTTTTGTTTTTTTTTTATTAACTTATGATTAAAATAAAAATATTAGAAAATGCTTAAAAACAAGCAAATAATTATTAATTAGAAGATGAATTTAAATAAATAAATGAATATAGAGTTTAATTAATTTAATTAGAAAAACAAATTAAGTATTCTTTATAAGATATCAATGAAAAAAATAATGATATTAATTATTGGAAATCTTAATGTAATTAAAATGATGAAAAAATCATTTATATTAAATATTTGTAAGATAGATATGATGAATTAAAAAAAAAAAATTAAAATATAATTAATTAAAGTTAAGAAAAATAAAGAGGAGGAAGTTAGCAAAATAATATATATGCAAAATGAATAAAAAAAAGGAATATTTATTTATATTTAACATTTATTTTATTTTTAATATTAATAAATTTAAATATAATATTAAATATTTATAATAAATTTATTTAGATAATATTATAATATACAAAATTCTATATTTTTTTTATTAATTTATTTAAAAAATATTTTTATTCATAAAATTATTTATATTAAATAACAATATTATTTTTAACTAATAAATATATATAAATATATATATATATATATATATATATATATATATATATATATTTTCATAATTATAATTAAAAAATTTTATTTATAATTATAAATTATATTTTAATATAAAAAACAATATAATAAATTCTATGAAATATTTTATTTTTTAAAAAAATTTTAT